AATGGTCTCCCTGAAAACAAGACCAAGTTGCGACAACGAGGTCAACCCACTTCTAAGAATACATTTAGTTAGCCTACTCCAACCCTAACTGAATCAATCCATCAATAAAACGCAACTGACTCTTCCTTACTTATTAACTTACATTGCTTTTTCTTTAGCGCCTTTTCTACCTGGAACTATCAGTCCTGCGTGAGTGTCTCGCGGACCTTCTACGCCCGTTATCATGTTCACCTGCCTTCTGGTGCCTTGAGCGGGCTCTAGATGACTGGATTCTAATTTGTTGCTTAATGGGCAATGATTTCTTGCCTCGCCTTGCTGGTTGGGGTATTCCTGAAGGTGACATGGAGCTTTTACTTTCCACATATCGAGAGGCTGTCTCAATCTGGGGCGGCTGGCTCATTGATACTGGTCCTAAAGTGAATGATCCTATCGGGAAATTCCCAAGCCACGGCAGCTGGCCGAAGATCCGGCTAGATCGCCTTCGTGACTTGCTGATTCGGCTCGCTCGTTGCGAGGAGCGTCATGAATTCTGGCTTCGCTTTCCCACATCAGTTCATGTATCCCCTTCCGCCGATTCTCATCGTGATGCAACCCCGCCGCCAAACCCTGTTTCTGAGAATGAGGCCATGTCAACCTCAGAATCATTTTCTTCTTTTCAATCAGCTAAGGAGAAGGGAGCCAAGACTGACTCTTATCCAATAAACCTGATGAACTTGGAGCCACATTGGCGTGACCGATATTTGGCTGATCAACTTAGTCTCACTGGTGACGACCGCATGGAACAAGTATCCAGACTGGCAGTTGAACAGTTTGCTACCGACTATCTAGATGGCCTGCGCTGGGTGATGGCATACTATTTTTCCGGTTGCCCATCTTGGCGCTGGTGTTATCCACACCATTACGCTCCGTTTGCCAACCATTTAATAACCTGTCTCCAGTCTTCAGAGCGTATTAGCGAAATTGATCAAATCAAGCCGGAGTACGGCTCTTCAACTAGTGAGTTGTGATTCATCTGCTACCAGTAAATTAGTATTATGAGATGTATTCGCCCAATTTCGTTTACGATGATGAATGACTTGTAGTAGAATTTCCCCACAATTATATGAGTAGAGCTGACGTTTCTATTGAATTTCACGTAGCCTTGTTTTCCCAAAGGTGGTTATTATCCAGGGTGGACTGCAGTTTTGCCCTCCCCTTAACACCCCCAGCCGGAGTCGAACCATGACAGTGCAGAATGGGAGTTTGAAACGTTAACCGCTCGACCACATTGACACGAGTGCCCTTGGGTCACAGGGCAAATGTGAATTTCCAGGAAGGCCAGGCCTTTTTGTCATATCATATTCTTTTGATGGGATTGTCGATAAAGCAAACGTATATTTGCTATAACAATCGACTATATTATTTATTTTACTACCAGTCCTTCATCACCTC